CGGGCTGGGCGCCGGGGGCCCCCAGGCTGCGCTCGGGGTCGCGCCTGGTGCCCCCCGCGGCTGTGGGGCCCAGCTCGCCGCCCGCCATGTACTCTCTTGGCCCACATTAGGGGTGGCCGCAGCCAACTTTTTTGGGAGTTGGTGGCCCAGAGTGTCTCACTAGACTTCTGGAGCTCCCTGCAGTCTCCAAAACCAGAGTCGCACCTTTGGCAGCCAAGTCCCATGAGACACAAGGGCGGGCCCTGCCCACCGCGCACCTTCTACCCTTACTGCCTCTGCCCCGTGGGTTTGGGTGTCTCTGGATGAACAATTTGGGCTCTCTCTGAGACTGAGTTTCCTTCAACCTAAAAAGCAAGAGGATGCAGACAGCCTGCCTTACTCACGTGTGAAACACTGTCCACAAATGCCATTGCCCTCTCCTTCGGAGGAACGGAGAAGTGCGATGCCTGGCAACCCGATCCTAGGTACAGAAATGACTGGGAGATTTTCTGTGCCAGGATATCAGCCTGCGCCAGCCTTCCTTTCCCAGAGCAAAGGAAGGACTTCACTTGCCTTAAAATTTGTTGTGTAACAACCTGTGTAGATGTGGCTACCTTGAGATCCGTGCTATCCACAGCCAGACCACTGAACAGAACGTGTTCGCAGTATTTCTGCATCCTGTCTTCCACTCACCTAGTAACCTGGTCAAATTCTGTCCCCACTGTGAGCCTTCGTTTCTCATTGGTACAACGGGAAGTGGAATTTGGATTAGATGTCCTCAATGTGAGATCAGATTGCTAGCTCTCAATTAGACCCACATCTGTCCTAGACGTTAGGGAAGTGTGTGGCTTTCCCCTCCTGCAGCTACCCAACTTGAAAGTGATCTGGGATTGTGAAAGAGCTTGGGCAGCAGGTGGAGGCTGACAAGTCAGGTGTAGCCTGGGGCCCAGCTTTCAGTACCTTTGAGGCACGCAGCTCCCCCAGGCCTAGCTTTACCCTTTCACCGGATGACAGCGGGTTACTTTGTCTCGCCTCTTGCCCCAAGGGAAGATCTGGAGAGCCCAGGCAGGGCCTGGATGGTTCTGGACTCCCTAGGAAAAGGATGTGGTTGGGGGAAAGACAGTGACTTCTGGCTTCTGTCCAACCTCACAAAGTGGGGACTGGCTCCAATGCAGGTTAGGACTATTCCTGGGGATTGATTCCCCATCACCTCCTGCATGCCAGGCAGGGTGCCAAGCTCTTCCAGGGCAGAGCTGAACGGGCTACCAGGCCCTGCCTGCTGGCTGTTCCCATTGTTCCTATAACTGAGTTTCATTTTCAAATTCTCAAGTACCAAGACTTTTAAAAGACTACTGCCTGGCTTTCGCCTGAGTTGGGGCTACAGAGGAAAAGGTGGGAGGGACTCTCAGCAAAATCATGTGTCTAGTCAAAATACAAGAGAACCCAGAGGTGCTTCCTAAAGACTGGGTGTTAGGGGCACCCTCATCGCTGGGAGAGAACTCATGAAAAAAGGAACCCTCTTTTCCTCACAGCCTCCTGTGCCATAATTCTTCTCTTCCTTCTCTGCTCACTTGTCTCAGAGAAGGAGGGGGCAGGAAGCCACAGCAGAGCCTCATTCAACTGGAAAGATTGCAGGCAGATCCCTGGCTCCAGGCTCTTTTTTGCCTCCTGCCTCCCAGGACCAGCCTAAGGTGGAAGTCCCTCCCCACTCTTCCAGACCCTACAAAATGGCCCAGCTGACCTCCACCTGGAAACTTCCCCAGGCCTCCAGCTAATGACCTGTTACTTCCCTGCCAGTACCATTTGGAGGCAGAACAAGCAGGAATGCTACAGTGAGCAGACAAGAGTAACACTTGTACTCTGCGGCCTTGGATGAGTCACTTCACCTCCCTGAGCGTTGGTTTAACTGTAGAGTAGGAATAATGTTGCCTTACTAAGGAAACATCGCTAGCTTTTACAAGGAATCTAAAGAAAGATGTGTAAATAACCTGATACTGTAGCAGGCAGGTATCCAGGCTACAGTTCTATGATGTGAATACAATGTGACACGTGGGCCGCCTGTAGCTCCAAGAGGTTAAGTCGCTGCCCAAGGTCCTACCTTGGCCCAGCATGATAACTAGGAGCCCTTTCCTCTTTGACCCCATTAGTTCTCTTTGTCTCAAATGTATAGATCCTGTTTTTCCTTTCACATTTTCTGGTCTGGAGGGAAAAGCAGATCAGCTGTTGTTTTCTCCCTTTCTCATAGTCCAGTCCACTCAGAAAATGCTTATGGAACTGAATCAGTGTGTCTCGCTTCCAGGAGCAAAATTAATCCTTTCTCTCCTCCCCTGGCTCAAAGATAGCTTTTGGAAACCCTGTGTCACTCCCTTTATTACAAACTCCTCTGCCCTCCTCCAGGCGCCTGGGCCACTCCGGGATTACAAATGGAGCCTTCTGCCTCTAGGTCACTGATTCCACTACCATCTGTCAGCACGGATTGATTGAGGAGCCTGCCCTGCTCCGCAGATCAGTGACTTGTGCGAAGTGAGCCAGAGTGTTGGTGCCTTCGGCAGCAGGCTGATGTCCTTCCTCTCACTGGCTGGCTCTCCTGGGCACCAGACAGCCCTAGCCTTTATCCTTCAGCATGCCTGGCTCTCCTTCCTCTATGAAGGACCACCTGGGAAGGACTTGACACACCAAGAGGAGGCCTGGCATCCCAGGGGGCCTTGCCTTCAGTCTTGCAGGAGGCAACTTACAAATATCTGGTTGTCAGAGCTGGAAGCTCCCTGAAGTATCCTGCTGAACCTGTCCCAAGGTGAGCACTTTCCCCAGGCAATGTGCAAACTAGGGGCAGCCTGGTGCTTTGTGGGCTCACATGGCCTTGTTCCAGGGGAGCTTCTGTGGCCTAGGAGGCACTGAAAAGGAGGAAGAAGGTTCAGAACAATTCTTCTCTGGCAAGGTCAGACAGACAAGGCTCTAAAGTGGGGGAAGGGATCCCAAGCAGAGGGCCAGGGAACACCAAAATTGGAGGACTGGGTACCAGAGAGCTGCTGTGCCTAGCCCAAAGTACCGAGAGCAAAGAAAAGGGATAAAGCTTGTTGCAAAGACCAACAAGGGCAGGACACCAAAGGGCCTTGCACCTGTGACATACATGGCATGAATTTGCTTCATGGGGTCTCAGGGTGGTGTGGGCTCTTTAGTGTGCCCCTCAACTCTGCCCCCCAGGATCAAAGCTGTGGCTCTCACTGGGCTATTCGTGAATGGTGAACAGGTTCATCTCTCCCACTAGACTGTGTATGCTTTCCACCTCCCTCCCACGTTTGGCATCCTAAGCAAGGTAGGGCACCAGGTCCACAACAATTACACATCAATGATATGATCAGCTCACAATGAGCCAGGCACTGCACACATCTCCTTTTATCGTCCCACTTCATGTCTGGGACAACCTGATGAAGTTGGTATGAATGCCACATCCTCCATTTTACAGAATGGGCTCTCTGAAGTGAAGGGATTCTAAATAATTTGTCACAAGTCACCTAGCTTGGAAGAGTCTGAGCCGGGATTTGAACCCAAGCCTTCAAAAGTTGTGCTCTTTAACCAACATGCTCCCCAGCACTCAGCAACCACTGGAAAGAGAGATATAGGTGGTAGGTCCATGGCTGAATGGTCCAAAAGCCTGCAGATGAGCAGGAAACTGGACATCTGAGGATTGTAGCAGCACCAGCATCTTCCCACAGGGATGTGTGCAGGCCCTGGAGAACAGGTAGTTGGGGGCCTTGGGTTCCAGACCCCACTCCTAGAGGATGCTGGCCTGCTGCCACAGAGCCGCACACTGTGCTCCAGTTCACTTGTGTTTGCGCAGGTGAGCAGATGCCAGGAAGCTGGGGAAGGCACCCTTCTGCCCGGACACTCCCCAAGCAAATGGGGTCGGAAAGCCAGCACAGGTCACTAAACATGAACCAGCCTGGTCGAACCACTGTTTGTATGTGTGTGTGCACGCATGCACACGTGCGTGTGTGTGTACATGTGCATGTGCGTGCGTGCTCACCAAATCACCCAGTGGCTCAGAGTGTCAGTTTCTTCCTCCGTAAATTGGGATGGTAGACAGGTCAAATGATCTGCCTGCCTCCTGGTAGTCAGGTCCCCTCTGTAGGTGATGTCCTGCACTCCTCACCACAAGCCTGTGAGGCAGAGATCATTATCTTCATTGGCCAGAGCAGGAAACAGGTGCACAGAGAGACTAAGAGATTTGTCCCCAGTCACATAGCTCGCAAAAGGCAGGACTGGATTTGGACCCACTTCATCACTTAGAGCACCACGAAGGGTTAAGTAAAGATGAAGTGACCTAACAGTAGTGACAAACACACACTTTAAGCACTTCACCTGCATTAATTTATTAATCCTCACAACTAACCTAGAAGGCTGGTATTGTTCTAGCTTCATTTTACAAGCAAGGAAACTGAGGTCCAAAGCAGCTAGAGGGAGGGGTCTGAGCTGGAATTTGAACCAGGGCAAGGCAGCCCCTGCATCGCTTTATCATGAGATAACAATAGGGAGGTTCCTTTCCATTGGGATTATTTCTGCTTG